CTAAACTTCCTTCGTGCTGTTCATAGGATCACAACACTTTAGTCCTGATGGAACTTTTCTACCTAATGAAGAAGGAAGCTCGAGCCCCTGAGCTAGGTTACTGAGATCAAGTAATTTAAGTTTATTTCTTACCTTCCATGAAAAGCGCACAGATACAGGCTCCTTCCCCTGGTGGGTGGGAGGAGACCATCTTCTTTGGTCTTTTTGGTAACATCTACAGTCAAGCAGACCTTACCCAAAGGCCAGTTGTTCTTGTCTGGCACGCTCTGCATTACAGCTTTAAAAAAATTATACTTTCAATAATTCAATATCCAGACAGTAATTTTAATGTCAGAACTCTTAATGTGCCCTTCTTGGACCTGTTGTGCAGAAGCCTGAGACTGACTGGGGTTTGTTTTGGGTTTTTTTTTTTTCCTTTGGCCATTAGTTGAAGTAAGACAAAAAATGCATGAATGCAATTGTTTGGAAACAAAACATTCTGCACAGTACAACAAACCAACCCTCTCCTTAGCAGGGAAGCAAGACTACATTGCTGTCTGCACTCTGAGACAGCACCTCTGCAGCCAAGTCCATGTTCAGAACAAGCCTGTACTAACATCTAGCCTGCATGGCCCTTATGTCCCCCCAGCCCTCAACCGAAAAAAGCGCCTATAAGAGAAAGCTTGGAGAGAGGCAGTAAAAGGAATGAAAAATAGTTGGGCTTCTCTATATCTGTGGCACAAAATGAGCACCGCTGGGGACCTTGACATGAGTGGCAGAGAGAAGAGGAGCTGCCTGCCAGCCCTCACACTGCCATCCCCTTCCCCTTCCAAGTACAGGGAGAGGTTCTTCAGTGTCTGGGCTGCAGACACTCCCTGGGCCCCCACTGCCCACCTTCTCCAGGGAATGATGGCAGCCCAGCCAAAGTGTCCCGTGAGGAGCTCCTGGCCACTTTTCTGCTAGGCTAGTGAAGGTTTTATCTGAGTGCCACTGATGGTCATGAAGAATGTGAGATACCCTGTTCTCTCATGTAGCTTCAGTGTGGTCTTCCAAGTAAATACATGCCTATGTGTTGTGATCATGGCAAGAAGCGAGCATCAGCTGCTACTGAAGATTTTTCATCCCCTACTGTGGCAACAACTACACAAAGAGGACTGTCAGACTGATTAATTTTATTCTACTTGTCCTGGTGCTACTTGGGCCTGTGCTGATACTAAGGAATAAACCAGAATGGTACCATGACATATGCACTGAATTGGTTAAATAATAATGATGTCAGGCACACTTGCACTCTTAACCTTTTTAAAATCTGAAATTCAGCATTTATTTCCTTAGCCGCTTTGTCTTAACACTTCTGAGGAGACTGAAGATGAGTTTGGATTGTTCCCCCTGCTTTCAGGAGATGGTTATTCTGATATTTGGCTTATTTTTATCTTTTTGTGTAAACTGTACTTAACTCTGCAGAGAGCATCACAAACATAGCTGACACCAATGGTAAAAAAAAAAAAAAAAAAAAAAAAAAAGAGTCTGGCAGTGAAATGATATACCTGGTTCCTTACAAGCATCACTGCTTACCTCTCAGGACGGAGGACTGAACAAGCCAGAAAGCCATACCACTGCTGGCAGCACAAGGTCCTGCATCCAGATCTCAAGTTCTCCATATCACGTGAGAAGATTGGTCATCCTAAAAGAGAAGCAGCAAGAGCTTCTGCCTTAATCTATTTGTACTACTGTTTTAGACAAAATAAACTGCAGACTTCAAGTGTAAGAGTCCTTTTGTCTACAGAGAAGGGAAATGGCTGAAATAACCAGAAAGTATATGCTTACTTAAGCATATGGTCATGGTTTTAGTGGAATTTGTCCTTTCCCTGATGTAGGAATGTAGAAATGTAGAAGGTGACCAGCATGAGACAGGTTGCTGGCAATAGAGAATGGGAGTATGCTCAATCCTGTAAAACTTACTGTCTTGGGGAGAAACCTGAACATCACTATTACTCATGTTAACACAGCTTCAGAAACTGCCAAAAATTGGTAACAACAGTTGATGGCTTCTTAAAGGAAAATTGTCTGATACCACCTTCAGTGGTGCTTTTAAGCTTCTATGAGGCCAGACCAAAGTACAAATCGGAAGCACCAGAGAGTCTGACAGACTCTGAATAACGGCATACTGCAGCACACATTGCCATGAGATGTCAGAGGAATTTCCAAAAACACTGCCCCTTTTTTTCCAGATTAACCCCTTGCAAGTGGATATTGCTGTGGCAGCATAGAGGAAAAGAAATCCTGCAAGATTCAAGACCTTCAGAACACCCGTAGCACTTGTGACAAGGGGGGTGACAAAGCCTTGCTTTAGCAGAGAGCTTAGCATTTCTGCAAACTCACTTTTAAGCAAAACTGACTTGCATTAAGACAAATTTTGGAGAAAAAAAATAAATGGAATAAAGCTGCTGGTTTTAGATCACTGGAATAGCTCTGTGCATAGTAGCTAAACCCTGTTACTGTAGCGTACTTACCGGTGGGCAAGGCTGTACGTGGATGGATATGCTAGTGTAGTCCATGTGTCTGGCAGAGCATTGTAGAAGAATGCGGACTGCAGCATTTCCGTGTGAGAAAACATTAACTTCCTCTTTGTTTGGAGAACAATAAAGAGCATACTGGCATCATAAAGAATAGCTATTCTTTTAATTTCCAAAAAAGCCCCAGATTACATAGAAGAGCAACAACACTGTTAATAAAAAAGTCACTTGCCTTCAGACCAAGGTCCAGCTGTTTAAGAGACCTATAGATCTCTGAAAGGAGGAGGTTCATCCTCTCACACTCTTGAAGGCAAAGAAGGACATAGGGCCTCCGTCCATGCAGTCTTCTGCATGATTTCTGCCATGTTAAACTCCTCGGGAAGCATCTCCAGAATATCATCCAGGACATTCTTAACCTTTCCAGGCCAATATAAACTGAGCCATTAGAAATTACGGCCATCAACTCTTACTGACTCTTCTACTTTCAAGCCTGATTTCTTCTCCAGGAGAGCGCAAACATCCCATTTTCTTAGACAGATCAAAACCAGGGATGCTCCCGCACCTTTGCTGTCTCTTTGGCAACAGTATTGAGAAATTACTGCAAACCACTTAACACTTGGCACCTTCCATTTCGCTTTGCATTTTTAAGTAACACTGACCCCTCAAAGCCCACTAACACATGGTCCCTGGGCTTGGGATGACTGCTTTTACAAGGACGTACCCTGCGATTGCCTTCGTTTTTAGTCAAGCGTGCTTAGCAGTTTGTATTTCTATAGTATCAAACAGCTTCTATCTCCCCCTCCACCGCCCACAGTCCCTACTGTCTTGGGCATTAGGCAAAATACAGCGCAGGCACACGCAGACACTCGTCTCACCCCCAAAAAGAGCCTCTTTCCCGGCCTGCTCTGGAACTGAGACAGAAGACAACTGACAGACAAGTCATAACAGTACTAATGAGCAGGCACTGAAATCACAACAGTAATGCAGCTCAGTTTCCCTTTCAGCATTAGCTTTGTCAGAATGGATGATGAATGCCATATATAATTGTCCACACTCGCTAAAGGGGACGGGAACCAAACGTGAAAAGCATAAGCTCCCGCCCCAAAAATGAAGCGTCGTTTGGCTACTTGCATGCAGAGCTGTCATATTCCCTTCTGCAAAACCCCCATGATCCGATGGTGATAAGAGAAAAAAAGAGTGCCCAGAGAGAAAGGATGGAGTAAAGAAAGGGATGAAGAGTTGCAGAACAAGAGTGGCAGTCACAGGGGAATTTAATTGACTCTGGTAAAGATGAGGAGCTGAAGGCTCAGTCTCAGGTTATGCCAGTTTTTGGGGCACCTGGACATAGTTTCTCAGGTCTACACTCAGAAGGAAAGGTGCAGAACACAGGAGGGCCTGATAATGGGACTAGCTGAGATTTCTTACTATATTTTTCTTGCCTGCTTATCCTTTATTAATTTAATCTATTAAGCACAGCACCAGTGCTGTTCCATGCTCAAAACCCAGTCTTTTACATTTTTCTGGAATCAATGTGGCTGTACTAAGATATCTGGGTATCTGAGATATCTTGACTGTGAATAGAACTACAGTGCCCCAGTTAACTCCATATTAAGAGACAAAGCTTATCTTCGTAGTAGGGTTGGTCCCTTCAACCCAGCATCTGATAGCTTATAGGTATCAATGTTCTTGTTCTGCTAAACAATTTGGTACAAGAGAGGTGCTGTGGCTAAGAGACGGTCAGACAGCCTCCTTGCCCAGATTTCACCTCTTCAGACTACCAGAAAACTAAAAATCCCTGAAAACCTCCTCTGCAGCTGCTCCTGGCAAGGGAAGTCTCTTGGAGCAGCCACATGGCTCCTGTTCGGATCAAGGGCCAAGGAAGGGGAGTAGTGGGAGAGCGCTGTGCTTGGGCTGCTCTTGCTGGCATGGAGGCCCGACACATCACTGCCAGGCTGTGCTGTGAACGTGGCAGAAAGAAGCCAGGACCATGGGCTGGGAGGGACTTCCCGTGCTCGGCACAAGCAGGAAGGAGCAGGGAAGCTACCCAAAGGGGATTTATCTCACAGGCGTTGGGAACAAAGCACAGAGGTGAAGACGAGACTCACCAACTCAGCCAACCGTAACTTTTTTTAGTAAGTTAGCGTTGCTGTACTTGTTTTTAAAAGCACACAAAAAAAGCAAGATAGATTCACCCCTTGTTTCCCAGGCCATATTAAACTCAAAGTGAAAAAGAAACTGTGAGCGTAACAGGTTAGATGTTCCTCTGGTCCGAATTCCTCCCTAGTGCAGTACATTGCACAGGCTGGTGCCTTACCATCACTACTGTTAACACCCAGCTGATCTTTGCTAATCTGATGCACCTTTTTTTCCCTAGAAATGAAGTCTCTTGCTGAAATAACACTGCAGGATGTGTGCTCCACATATCATTAACAGCACTGACAACGCACCAGATAAAGAACTTTACCTTTTCCTCCGCCAGACTAGCCTGATCCCTCACCTACAGATGAATTCATGGGTTTCATTTCCAAAAGAGTTTTGAAGAGATTATCTGATGTTGCTGTCAAGTATCCCACCTCAGCATTGGGATGCAGTCCATACAGTACTGGGCTTTCAGATGGAAGCATTTCATCTATTTATTTATGGCATCCAGCATAAATCCAAATTTGGTGCCAAGAAACCTGGTGCCAGAGCCAGTTCTCCTTCAAGCTTCAGTAAAAGAATCAATAATGTTATTGAGAATGCTGTCACTACTTCTTGAAACATACTACTGCAGCTACAAAGCTTCAGAAATTTGTCTTGAGTCTACAAAAATGACTCCTATGTGTTCTGAAACAGTGGATCAGGGTTACCAAACTATTTTTAGCGCAGTTACTATCCGTGCACTTTTCTGACGTTCCCATTTTGGGCGGTGTTGAAGTACTGCTGCTGCTTCCTTTTCCTTCATGAGGATGCTCCGAGTTTATTTTAAGGACTGCCACTACCAAGGTGAGTGTATTTGAAGTACTGAATTTCTGCTTCCTCTCAGAAGACAACCAAGGATTATTATGCCGTTTTGCAGATGAGAGACACTGATACAAGAGGCACACAGGATGCCTGCGGGAGAGGCAGGACCGGAGCCGCAACTCACCTGAACCCCCATCCCAGTACCCGAGCCGCAACATTAATTCTCTCTGGTGTGTCATCAATTTGGGGCTTTGCGCAAACACGCTGTGCTCATAGTAACCTTAGAGAGGTCACGGGGAGCGACAGGTCGATGAGACAGGGAAGCACAGCGTGGCAACGGCATAGCAAATGCCAGCATGTGAGCAATTCTTAGCTTGCCGGAAACAGTGATCCCAGTCACTGATTCCACAGAAACGGTTGCCAGTTAGGGCACCCAGGAGCTGCAACAGGAAGGAAAAACATGCTGCTCTACAACATCTCTCCAAATGTAGGAGTCTTGCTCAGGGTTTTGTACTGCTGCTTTGGCCTCAATGAGATAGACCACCTCAATGGTGATTATTTTTTACAGCAGAGAAAATTAAGGTCTCAGCCAGCTCAGTATTTGAACAGGCAGGCCCTACCCCTCTCAGGACATTAAAGACAAGACTTGGGACTTTGGAGCAGGTCAAGAATTAAGCAGGTAGACAGAGATGTACTCTCAGTGGGCTGCCCTCCTACTGACGACAGGACAGAATAAAAGCTGTAGCAGTCGCGTTTGTTTTCCAGGCTCCCCCCAGCTCCTGCGCTGTAAGGACTTCACTGGATTCAAAGAGTTTCTCTGAAGTTATTGTCACAGAGCTGTCTGGGATTTAGACCACAGGTTGTTTTTGCTGAAAAATATTTCTGGCTCTAAGTGGTACTTTCCACAGGAGCTATTTCTTCCTAATGCAGGGTCCACTCCACAAAATCACAATAAAATTTAACGGCTTTTGGCATTTACAACAGTCAACAACAAGCTGCTGCTCACAATAACACCAGTAAGCACTTATTTCTGAAGTAATTTTAGTTCTGCAACCAGCCATTTACCTGCGCCTGAACCTGCACCACTAACCTTACCCACAATAAGCTATGTCTTAAGACGCCACTTTGAAGTAGTGCTGAGGTTTTGAAAAAAGCCCTGTGGTTCACCTCGAGTGGAAGATCAATTCTATCAGACAATCTGTACTTACCATTCTCTCTGCTGGCACTTAAAATGGGTTTTCTCCTATTCCTGGGAGTCATAAGCGCAGAGGGAGGCTGCGGGTTACGGGGGTTCATAGCAGGAACTCGCCACCCTTCTGTCCTTATGACAGATCCCAGATGAGGTATACCAAAGCTGGCGGATAGTGGATTATTCTAACACACCTCGTGGAATGAAGTTATAGCTAAAACAACTCACCCGCAGTGCGAAGAGGTAAAAGAGAAGGCAATCTCCCCAGTGAATACAAAGCGCCAGCCCTGATGAAAGGCATCGCCATCCTGTTTGCATTCACTTGGCTGCCAGTCAATGAATTATTTTCTGGTTTTGCTGGTAATTCGTGGGTCTAACATTTTCCAGTTACGGCAAAAAGCTCGGAAAGATATCTCTCTGTTTAAAATACCAGCAGATCCACGCTCGGGGTTGGGTCCCTAAACTTTCCAAAGGCCATACAAATAACAGTGATTCTCCTCAGGTTTCACCACCTATACTTATTTTACAATTATTTGAATGAAAGTTCAGGCTTGTGAAGGTTAATGGACTGCCTAAACTGGAGGCAGTAATTCTTTACTTATCCATAGGCTAGAGGCAGAGCCGGAGCTGGCAGGATGAGCTTCCCACCATGCCCCTGCGACCTCAGCTGTCATTTGGAGAAATCAGCCGCCGCCGAGGTCAGGAGCACAGTGGTGTTCAGCCTTTCCATCTCCATGGCAACTTCCTCTTGGGCATCTTCTTCTGAGCAGTTGCTTCCAATTGCCTTCGTCTGAGCGTGGCTCTTTGACATAGAAAACCCACTCGTCAGGGGCCGAGGAGACACCGGCAAGCTCACCTCGCTCGCAGCCCACAGGCGGGCTCCGGCCGCGTCGCAAGGGTGAAGAGAGCGCTTTCCCCAAGGTACCCAGGCTCTGCAAATGGCCCGCTCACACCTAACGTGCTAATTTTTTTTTTTTTTTTTTTTTTTAATCTCCCAAATAAGCTTTTTACCTTTGGACAGTGAAAAATAACAAGTCTGGAAAGGGCACTTGAAAAATCTCCCAGCTGTTTTTAGCAAATTGTGTACAATCAGTTCTCTAAAGTGACTAGTTCATCAGCTTAGGAGAAGCAGCTGGTTGGGTTTTTTAATTTTGATATATATCTCTCTCTCTCTACACACACATATACCTATATATACATACACATTTTATGTAAATGTATATGAAAATAGATTAAAGTAGTTTCCATGCAAGGCTTTTTAGAAGTAAAGTTAAAGCAACATTTTCTTTTTGTATCCTCAAAAATTCTAACATTTGTTTCTGACTGCAAGCAACTTTGGCAATCTTGCACCTTGGGCTCATGGATGCTCCACGTACACTGCTGTCTGGGACCAAAACTCAATAGTGAAATTTGAACAACCCAGTATCTATTAGCTGGTGATAATCTGACAAAGCTACAGAAACAGATGTGTGAGAGGGTGGTGGAAAATGAGAAACAATTTTACAAACTGTTTTCCCTATTTTGGGAACAGGAGAATGCAAGGAAACGTATAACATTTCCATTCTGTTATTTTTCAGGAGAAGAAAACATACAAACAGTAAACGTTAAGTTTTGAGGATAATGTCGTTCTGGACTGCTGTCTATCAGTTAGGTTGGTTAAAGTGCAGTTCCATAAAAGATACCTTCCTGTGCCCACCCAGACCTTTCTAAATGGCGGCATCTTAAAGAAGAATATTCTGTTGTTAGGTAAATGGAAACCTACATGTACTATCCCTTAATGTCATTAAGCTGGCTATACAAGCAGCATTACAACACACTGAATTCGAGTTGCCGAGGAAGGGTGCTCGCAGAAGTCTTTAAACAAGCAATATGCCAAGTCACAAACCCTTGCAGACAAAATCTGCTCATGATGAATCATTGTACTCATTACAAGTTGGACAATTTATTCCCCCACAGCCAGACAAGACCTTGCTACAGGGTGGGCTGCATGGATGAGAAAGCCTGTGGTCTTCTCCCCAAGGTTGCAGTTCTGAAAGATGACTTTCTTTTAGGTTGAACATACTACATACATGTTCAAGAGATTTAGCATATATGAAAGTTCTTACCACAGGTGGGCTGATGAATTCTTGCAGATATATACAGCAGCACCTGTGGTCCCAGACATCGGTGATGTGGCCACTGTACATGATCTCACCAAAGAGGTAACACAAGTCTTCCCATGGAACCTACCTGGGGGAACAGAATGCATCACTGAATAAAACAAGTCAGCTTCCTAAAGGACAAACCAAAGTTGCTCAGAATAAAGGCTGTTAAGAGAAATTCAAATACTTCTTTTCAGAAAGCTTTGTGGTTATATATTTGCTTTGCTGTGTTTTGTTTGTTTAGCACATAACTACAATGAAACACAGATTTCTTTTATTTCAATCCAGCGAGACGTATCTATAGGTATCTGAGTAAAAATAGCAAGTTCGTGACTAAAATTCAGTAACGCTGTAAAGTGTATCATCTGAGCCTTACATCATGTTTTCTACCTTATCCCTTATAAAAAGCTTTTAAGAGAAAAGTACATTTTCAAAACACCGCATGATATAAGAGAATATAACTCATTAACAAGTGCATGTATTTTCCCATACAGATCTTTAAAAACGTAATCCTCATGAGTGACAGGAAGGTAACCTACTGTGCCTTTCTTAGAGGAGAAATAAAAAACTTGTATCTGATTGCAGTCTTTTATATCGCCTCACTAGGAAACACTCAGCAACTGAAATTCTACATTATTTGAATTTGGGAGGTATTCAAGAACTTCGTTAAAAACTGAAGTAATATTAATCCTATTACTACCATATCATGTAAGCATTATGTTTATTGTAGAACTCTAGTCATAATGCCACTGTTAGAGCATGTGATTAGCAGTGGTAACATATTTTATTCAAGGAACTACTGTCTTTCTCTTTTATTTGGCTTCACAGAGTTTGAAGCTGCCTTTTGCTACCCTTTGGTTTGCAAAATATGCCGGTTTGTGATGAAGCCTTTTCAGACAGGAACCTTTATGCCCTTGGGGGCAGTATTTGCCTCCCAACAGTTCAAGTAAAAACTTAATTATGGGCCTTAAATATTGCATGATGTGACAGAACAGAACAAGTAAAATAGCTGCAGCTATTCCAGCCTGCTTGCTACAAGTTTATTTCAATTTGAATATGTGGAACTCTAATCCATCCTTCTTTTGAACCAGTTTGAAGAGAATGAAAAAAGAAGAAAAAAAAAAAAAAGGCCACTGGAATATAATATGCGATGCTGCATGCTGGTGATGAGAACCCTGAACAAAGGATCCCTGTGAAAAATGCCAACAACTTGGATTTAGAATGAAACATTCTTGCAGTTAGAATAAACCTACTTTTCTCTTTGTTGGCAACAAATGTTTTTCTAATTTCATATATATTTATCTCAAGAAATGGCTTTTTCCTTTGTCTTTTAGAAGAGTATATCAATATTTTAACTCAGCACAAGCTCATTCAGCTGCACACTTCTGAGGCATTGATTACACTGGGATAATCAAAGCTTGTGATATAAAAGGGACGTTTTTGCTAGTGTGAGAAAACTGAGGGGTTTGCATTAGAAATATTCTGGGCTGTCAGGTTTGCACAGTTGCCATTGTACTCTATAGAAAACTGGTCTGTTGTATGCAAAAAAAACACTGAGCCATTGCTCGGTGGATGAATATGGTGAGAACGGAGCCCACATCTCCCTCACAACATTGAACGACAACTCCATGAACATGCATATGGGGATCAGAAGACGGAGGGGAAGAGCG